CTTCCCGAGGACGAGAGGATTGAGGCCAGGAAGAGGGGTGCGTGATTTAAATGCTTCGACGAAAGATGGGGCGCACTCGGGAAGGGGGGGGGGACGCGGATAGGACGCCAAGGTCCATGTTCGAAATGTTAATTACTCACATTAACCATTTCGCATGGGACACGCGCTCCCAACGACGGCGCGAGTCGCTATTTCATAGAGCCGTAGCGCGAGTCGACTCGCGAATAGCTATTATTGTCGACCGCGTGGAGTTCGTCGGGTGTAGCGATTCTCGCTCGCGAAAAATATCTCGGCGAACCCAGGTACTACTACATCAGGAGCGCTAAAATCTGCCGGAGACTTTAACGAGAGTATAGGAAAGTGGCCGACACTGGAAAAAAAAAAAAAACACATTGGATCTTGAGTCCAGACTCTTAAAAACATCGACAAGAAAAAATACTCTTTTGATTCAATCAGATTTAAGCTTAAATCAAGAACCAAGCCTCTTAATTTAAGCGGGTTTCCTTTTGATTTAAGCTTAAATCTGATTGAATCAAGAGTCCTTTTTCTTGTCAATGTTTTCAAGAGTCTGGACTCTGGATCCAATGTGTTTTTTTTTCCAGTGAATGGACTGCTAGACAAGGTACGAATTTAGGCATTCTGATATCACCGAAAAAAATAGTTGGTGCTGAAGACAGAACCTTCTGTTCACAGGGCTCCTGCAGTTTCTTTGTTACACGTACAGAATTTTGCTGTTGTGAGAACAGAACTTCGACCGTGGGAACAGAGTATACTCTGTCCTCATAACGAAAGCTTCTGTGATTGTTACAAAAGAAGTGCAGGAGCCCTGTGAACAGTACTATTTTTTTTAGTGACATGTTTCCTAACTAGAATTTCTCTTTGAACACGATTCTTGTATCGAAAATTACTGATAATTACACCTAGCTAAGAAATTCACGTTTGTATTTTACATTGGTTACGGGAATTTTTAATTACCCGGTCACCAGAAACTCAATTCTCTACGCGAGTCAAATCGCACCTCACAACAGTTTTGACCGGCTTCTCAATCGTACTTTTTACGGCGTATTTCAACCAAAATCAGCCTAACTAGATTTCTAGTTATCTAGTTGCTCCCTACGTTTCATTTTGTCAGTTCCAGGAAACGAAATGAGGTAATGCCTTGAGACCTCTTATGATTTTTCCCTCAATTATCAAAAATAATCGGGGAAAATACCAGAAGAAATAAAATAAAAGAGAGGAAATTAGGCAACGTCCAACGTCGTTTGGTTGATTTTGGTGAAATTTGTCTCTTAATTGCATTTATTGCATTTAAGTTCCAAATCGAACTTGACGACTTCAAATTCGACGTAATAGCTCCCAAAAAATCAGTTCTCGAGCTCTCGTGTCGTAAGATTTTAACGTCATCGCTTACTCGGGCTCTATTTACTGTTTATACAAGTCCGCGCAGCCGCCTCCTGCTCTGCCGTATAGCAAACACGCCGTCTAAGCCTTCAGACGTTGCCATATTTCCCTTAATAAAAACTGAATGCACTGGGAACATCATGAATATTTTTCCTTCAATTTTTCAGACAATTTCGCCCGGACTTCAATCCAAAGTATCCGAAAAATTTCAAGGGAAAATCTGCATAACCTCCCTCAAAAATAAACATTTTGTCGGGAGAAATATGGCCACATTTGAACACTGATACGGCGTTCTTCCTTAGCTCTGCAGTGCTTACCCTTTACTTGTTTAACGGACTTAACGGGGCTTCGGTCGCGTCGCCGCGTGCTTTCCGCTGAAATTCCACAATTCCGTCTCTAGGTGCCGTCCAAAGCTCGTCAGTTTTGCAGCGCAGCCTAGCCATGTCGCTTCGGACGAGATTAAGAGAAAATGATGGAGGAAGAGGAGAAATTATTTTAATTTTCATGATAGCTTATCGTGCTGACTGCGTTAATGGCGAACCCCAACTCCCGCCGCCTAATTGTCTGCGGATCTATGCTGCCGTGCTAAGGAAAAACGCCGTATGAACATTCGAGAGTTGCCAAATTTCCTTCGATAATATTTTCATTTTTTAAAGAAAGCTGTAAATATTTTTCCTTGAAATTTTTGAGAACTTCAGGTAGACTCGCGAAAAAAATTATCTGAATAATCGGAAGGAAAATTTTTACAAATTTTCCCGAGAATTCGTGATTTACTAAAAGCAATTTGGCAGCACCTGAAGGTTCATACGCCGTTCTTCCTTAGCACGGCGGTACGATCCACCTTTTTTTTCTGTTTCCTCGCGTCTCCTCCGTTGTCATTATGAACGTATTAATGGTAAAAGAACTTATGTGCATAGGTTTTGTGCGCAACAAAGTTTCTTTTAGCATAGATCCGTACTTGTAATTCTTTTGCATGCGGTAGAACGGTGATTTCGCCCCGATCCCATCGACCGAGTGATGTATCCGAACCAGTTGCAAATATTTTTTCTTCTTTTTTTCTCTCGAGGGATTTTAATTCATTTACTTCATGTTGGATTTAATCAGGTGTGGAGTGTGGACCTTAACCCGGTGTAATTAGTGAGTTACTCAATGTTTTTCCAAAATTCGCAAGTGAGATCTTTCACTGGGGTCCTGTGAAGACAAGGTTATATACGCTGTAATAGCTGATTATTGAAATTGATAGACAAAGTGATCGATATAAAAGGCAGAGGCATAGTAGAGCGATCCTATCGGTGGAAACGGGTGGTAGCAATAGGTAAGTAATAGACTAACTGACGGCAACTGACAAGAGACTCCACAGGTAGTTCACAATTTTCCCAGTTCGTATTTAAGTGCCACCCGTTTCAACACATGGGATCGCTCCACACTCTCTATTTCTTCTTTGTCTATAGCTCTGTCTATCAATTTCAAAAATCAGCCCGCTGGAGTAAAATACACTCCGAATCTGACTTGGCTGAGGTAGGATTGCGCGAATGCACCTTTTTTTTACCTTTTTGGAGATGCACAGGATTGCGCGAATTTGTCTGGTACGGATATCTCACATGTTTGCGTGAATATTCAATATTCAACGAAGAAGCATTAATCAGGTTATTTTCTATCAATGTAATTAAAAAATAATTAAATATCATCCGATTTCCCGAATCATTACAATGAGGATACATATTTCCCCTTTGATTGTGGTAAAAACTGGAGTCGACAGTCAAGAATGATGACACGCAGTCCTACAGCACTCATACAGTCTTGTCGGCGCTAATATGCATTCCGCCAACTGACGCGACTGCACTGCGTTTGGTGCAATGCAAGAAGTATTCATGCAGTCATGTAGGCGCTTATATGGGCTTGACGCCGACCGGACTGTTTAGCGCAATGCGTGAAGTATTCCTACAGGCTTGCAGGCGCTAATATACGTTTAACACCAGCCGCACTGTGTTCGGCGCGATGATTCGTACTCGCGTTAGAATAATCGCGGCATCGAATAGTGGAGCTTAAAAGGCCCATGTTGTGTTTCGACGCCGTATGAGTATCCCCACCTTGCCTCGTCACCTCCGATCAAAATTGTTTTCCGAGAAAAGTTGGGAAAGTTGTTTACCCACGACGAGTATTCAATAATTTCACTTCATTCATCATCAGAACGTAAGACACCGATGACTTGTCAACAAACTAAACTAGCGTTAACATAAAAATGCGTGTATTTTCTAACTGTGTTCTGTTTTGCCAAACTTCTACCTTAAATTAACTTCATTTCAAATTCGCGCATTCCTGTACTGCCGTGCCGTGGAGAAACGCCGCATGAACCTTCAGGCGTTGACGAATTCCCTTTAATAAAACACAATTTTCCTGGTAAATTTATGAATATTTCCTTTCCGATTTTTCAGATAATTTTGTTCGCAATTTCACCTATTAAGATTCTGAAAGTTTAAAGGAAAAATATTCATAATTTTCCTCGAAAATAGACATTTTATCTAAGGAGATTTGGCTCTCGAATGTTCGTACGGCGTTTTCCCGTAGGACGCTAGTGTAGCAGATGTTGAGGTTTCTATTCGCGCAATGGCCCACTAGACAAGGTACGAATTTAAGCAATCTGATACATGTTTCTCAACCAAAATTTCACGTAGAACACGATTCACACCACGAAAACTACTGAAACCAACTCCTAACGAAAATATTAACGTTTTTGTTTCACATTGGTTACGAGGAATTCGAACTGTCCGCTCACAAGAAACTCAAAGCTCTACGTGAGTCAAATCGCGCACTACGACGGTTTCACCGAGCTGTTCAATCGAGCTATGTTCATTTCCCACCATGTGGTGTTCGAACTATAAGAAATTTGTTATAGCTGAGCCAAAGCGTCAAGACTGAGATTGCCAGATTATACCGCAGAGACTGTCTTGATAACGTTCAGCGCGCGATGTGAATCACGTAGAACATTGAGTTTTCATGAGCGGGTGGTTTGAATTCACGCATCAAGAATCATTAAATGGACGTATTTCTATCAAACGGACCTAAGCGCCATAGGGTGAGGAAGGTAGAGGGGGGCTTGGATTGGCGGCGGAATCGGGCGTCCTATATTCGCAATGCTTTTCTATGGCGCTTAGGTCCGTTTGATAGAACGTGCTATCCGAGATTCTAAATTCCTCAGAAGGAACTCAAATTGGCGCTTAGTTCCGTTTGATAGAAATACGTCCAAATATCTTCGTAAGGAGTTAATTGCGGTAATTATTGTTGTGCACATCGTGTTATACGTGAAATTTTAGTTACGAAGCATGTATCAGAATGCTGAAATTCGTACCTTGTCTAGTGGTCCATTCTTGTACATTTTTCGCGCAATCCTTGTACGTTTTTCGCGCAATTCTTGTGCGTTTTTCGCGCAATTCTTGTGCGTTTTTCGCGCAATCCTCATATATCTTCTTAGACCTTCCGCTTAATCCTGGATCCCCGTCCGACCGTGTGGTCGATGACGAGGGGCTCCGTCGGAGCTTTGCATCATAGGTTGTGGGTGGGAGTGTGGATGTGCTGAAACTGGGATTTGATTTGTGCAGGTGGGAGGAGTCTGCGGCGGTGGCGGCGGCGGCGGCATTGTGAAGCGAGTGAAAGCTGCGCGGTGCGGTTGTGCGGAGCGGGCGGTGCGGGTGTCCGGCTGTGCCGCGGCCCGGGATGCTGACGTTTCCCCGCTGGGCCGCTGCCGCGTGAGGAAGAGGAACCGGAGGAGCGCGACCGGTCGAAGCGAGGGTGGGACCCGGGACTTCCGAGTCGTAGACCAGGACCCTCACCCGTCACCATGCGCATGAACGGCGGTCTCCCCCGACACGACGAGCCTCCCAACGCTCCTCATGTTCCACGTGGTAAGTTCACTCTCCTTCTTTACAAAACATAGAAATGGAGATGTTGCATGTGTGAGGGATTTGCGATTTGACCATTGATTCTTATGTAAAAGTTCGCGAGAAACAGGATGGGGCCACTGGTTTTCTCTGAAATCATCTCCCAAGCTCAAAAAAAGCTCTCGTGTTGAGGCCAAAATGGAGGGGATATCCCACCCTACCCTAAGAGTCCACCTCTACATCAAAACAAACTCTCCATGCAAAGATAGGGAGCAAATACATTAGCAGGGTTGCCACTTTATTTGGGGACTCCCAAAGGGGCTCCAAAACTGAAAACACGGCAACCCTGCTAATGTATTTGCTCCTTATCTTTGCACGGAGAGTTTTTTTTTATGTAGAGGTGGACTCTCAGGGTAGGGTGGGATATCCCCTCCATTTTGACCTCACTTTAAGAGCTTTTTTTGAGCTTGGGAGATGATTTCAGAGAAAACCAGTGGCACCATCGTATTTCTCGCGAACTGTTACATAAGAATCAATGGTCAAATCGCAAATCCCTCCCACATGCAACATCTCCATTGATTAAAAAATTGAGCTGCAAGCCAAAATAAACAGGCTCAACACGGCTCATAAGTTTGAAATATTACGCGTTGATTTTGGCTTGTAGCTCGATTTTTCAATTAATTACTATGTTTTATACAGCTTTGTCAGCCTTTGGCAATACAATGCTTTGGTGTGGTTCGAATTTCCGCTTGCATGATGCGCGAGCAGGGTTGCAATTTTTCGTGAAAAATAAAATCTTAAAATTTCATGTGGAATATTTCATGGAATTTCTGAAAAATATGAGAAATGTTTTTCGAAATTAAATGCAAACTTAAATAAAAAGCGACTGGTTTTTGCGTTTTGGTGTTGTGTGCCTGAAAAAACGTGAAGGCTCAGAAATCTCAAAATGTATCTTGATCAGGGGATAAATCCCTATAATTTACTTTTTTTGTGTCATGATTTTTTTCCGGTTCTGTCCCTCATTTTTCCGATTTGTGCGTTTTTTAACACGCATCAAAACATGCCTCGATAAACGCGGAATCGCCCCTCAGACGCGTGCATGAATGAAAGTGGAAGAGAAAGGGAAAATCGAACTCGCTCGAAACTGGCATTGCCCAATTCTGCCGTACTGAGAAAGAACGCCGTATCGGCATTCAAACGTTGCCAAATTTCCCTCGTTGGAAAAGTTATTTTTGAGAAAAGCAATGAATATTTTACCATCAAATGTTTAGATACTTTACAGTAACGTGCGAATACAATTATTTGATAAAATAGAAGAATAATATTCACAAACCCAGAAAATTGGTAATTTGTCAACGGAAATTTGACAGCGTCTGAAGGCTCTTAAGGCGTTATTCCGTATTGCAGCACGATACGCATTTAGTATTCATTGTCGTAATAGTGAATAGTCCATGCGCACATCAAACCAGGAACAGAGAAACGTGAGTTGGTGGCCCGAGTTTTTATGCCGAGCACAAGTAATGAATTTTCGCTATTTTGGCGTCTAGCAATTGGATAATATTACTGCCGGGCTAAGGAAAAACGCCATATGAACACTCGAGAGTTGCCAAGTTTCCTTCCCTAAAACGTTTATTTTTTCGGAAAGCTCTGAATAATTTTCCTTGATATTTTCAGGACCTTATGTGAAATTGCCAACAAAATTGTCTAAAAAAGTGGAAGAAAAATGTTAATAAATGTTCTCGTGAATTTGTAATTTACTAAAAGAAATTTTGCAACGCCTGAAGGTTTATACGGCGTTTTGCCAGACAGTATAGTACCAGTAACCTTTTAAGAAGAGAGTCAGAGCTCCTCAAGTTTTTATGTCATAAACCGTCAGGAACACTGCGACTTTTTCCCGAATAATGCATCAACTCATTACTATCATCAGGGCCGGATTTAGGGGGTTGCCACATGAGCCACAGCCCATGGCGGCAAATTTAGGGGGCGGCAAATTTTGCAATTTTTTAAATGTAGCTATAAAGAAAAATCGTATTCAGAAAAAAATTACAAACGAAAAAAGGTGACAAAATCTCTCATTTACTGAGAGTATATCTCTAATTTTGCCGTCTTTCTGTCGTGATACAATAGACAGCACCTTTAATGAGTCGAGTTAAGACCAAGAGAGAAACCGAACACGGAATTTGGCCTAGAACGGCGCGGCGCAGAGAGCAATGATGACTAGAACTTGAGATGAAAAGGAGAAACCCTCGGCGCGGCGGTCGACATGTAACACATATTAGCGCCTACAAAACTGCATGAATACTTCACGCATTGCGTCAAAGACAGTGCGCTCGTTGCGGTCAGCAGCGCGCGGTCGGCGTGAAACGCATAGCGCCTACAGGACTGCATGAATACTTCACGCATTGCGCCAAAACACAGTGCGGTCTGCGCGGCGCGGCGGCGAAAGTTAAAATTTTATGAAACCACATTTATGTTTGTTCTTTTATAATATTTTCGTTCATTTTATTTAAATGGAAGGCCTTGTCCACACAGAGATAGGTTTACGAAACTTAACTTTCGCGCCAAGTTCCGTGAACTTTTACCAGTAGTGTTGACAGGGCTTTCGCAAAAAATGCGTCCAACACGAGGAAACGCGTCTAATGCACCCCTCCCCCTCCGACACGTTCACTTGATAGTTTTCATTGATGTTTCAAAACGAATGAGAAGGGGGCGGCAAAATGCAGGCGGTCCATAGGCGGCAAGTAAGTAAATCCGGCCTTGACTATCATCATCACCTATTTCAGGTATTTCGGAGGGAAAGCCTCTCTGATATTTCTTCTGATCGTAGGCTAAAATCAGTACAGTCTTGGCCGGATATTCTGTCGTGCTAAGGAAAAACGCCGTATGAAACTTCAGGCGTTGCTTTTCTTCCGATAAAACGAAAATTTCCTGGTGAACTTATGAATATTTTTCTCCCAATTTTTGTTTGCACTTTCACCTAAAGCTCCTGAAAATGTCAAAGAAAAATATTCATAACTTCCCTGGAAACTAAACATTTTACCGACAGAAATTTGGCAACTCCCGAATGTTCATACGGCGTTCTTCCTTAACACGGCAGTAATAGCACAGTCATTTTTCTGTGAATAAATCCATTTTTTTGTCGATTAACTGAGATGAAGATACGTTTTTTCGTTTGGAAAACGATGAACGACTTGTTTTATCCTCTGTGTAAGGAATTTATAATTGGGAATCTACCAAAGAACTTTCATTTATCGACTAATTTAGAGAAAGCATGGATTTCTAGGGAAGTTCCGCTCACATTTCGATCAAGTGTCTTACACGCTAGGGTCAAACTAATCCAGTTTTATTCAGTGTTTAAAATTTTTAGGAATACGGATCGCCGATTATGACATAATTTAACGGTGTTTTGAGCTTTGTTGACCATGAATCACTGTCCGTTTTAATGATGTCATTCATACACACATGCCAGTTCATCACGACACCTGTTCTCAAATTAGGGCTAAAATAATCCATGGCCCTGATTTTGAAATTATTCATGCCATGTTTGATGGGTTCTAATAAAATGGAGAGAAAATTATCACTCTGCACTCTTTCATTTTGCCAAGGCTATGAAATATCAGTTCCTCCATATGAAATTGGATTCTACCGAAATCATCGTGGTCGAGCTAATAAAAAATATCCCGTGGATTATTCCGTCCTTATTTTGCCTTCTTCCTTTACCTCATTCCCTTTTCAATGATTTCATAATGATTATTGACATTAATACCTCGCGCCAATGTGGAAGTTTTGAACACGTGCTAGGTACAGTAACACATTTTTACTGATGGCAATTACATTTTCGGAACTCAAGCAATTATATAAGTTCAAAAAATAGACAAATCTCGACTTTTCAGAGAAGGAAGACGCTTTAATATGATCGGGTGTCTTGCCATCTTCCAAAACTTTGACTTTCATTTGATGTACAAATGAGATCTGAAGGCTAGCCGCAGCTCAACCCTGCACAAAATATCTCGTGAACTGTATAAAAAGGCAATTAGAAACCGTCAAAATCATGCCGTTGGGCAAAGTTTTTAATTTTTCAGACTCGTGAGGTCGTGAACTTTCGACTTCACCGTCAGCCGCCTCTCTCTTTCATGCACCGCGCAGGAAAAGTATTTTTTTCTTCAGAGGTTGAGCTGCATCATTCGAGCTTTGAGCGCCCAAAATTCGAACTCCCCTTCCCCTCTCGCCTGCTCCAGGTTATTCAAAAAATCAACTCGCAGACAAACTCATTTATGGTGACTCACACAAATCCAAACAGATCCGTGCGCCTGCTAAGCGATTATTCGTGTTCTCACTTTCGTAGCGGATTTTTTTTATTTTCCGTGGCGTGCATCACCGACTGGGAATAATCTCTCGACGAAAAGAATCCTTCGTCGTGATTTCTGTTCTCATTAGATCCTTTTAAGGAGCTGAGTGAAAGGATTGCTGTATTCCCGGATAAGTTCGCCCGATTATAGATAAAGTCATTTTTCTCTTCATTCGTGGAGGGACTTTTAGACAAAATGATTAAGGAAACGAGTACGAATTTTTATCACCATAAAAAGAGAAGACTGATGAGATGAAAATGTATATCGATGGTGTAAGTCGGCAATCACATAACTCGTTTGCGGTGTCTGAAAATCTCTGCCTCTATGTTATTTTTTTAAAGGAGAACAAATTGACATCATTCCTTGAAGTTTTTGCAGAATTTTCTTCGCACAGAGACGAAAAATCACGGCAGTTTCGAAGATGCCGTTGAATAATTTCTCGTTTAAAAAATAAAGTATGACAGGAAATCTGCGACGTCGCAAACCGAGTTATGTGTTTGCCAACTTACACCGTCGATACATCCTTAATTCACATGGACAAATTGTTTTTAAAACGCTCTCTGGCACTTTGCGACACTTAAAACCTTTCTTCTCCCAATGCTGAACTTTCTTTATGAGCCTCTCCTCCGTCTATCTGTTGACGCATGTTCATGTACCATACCAAGTGAGCTGCGA